TGCGTATATTATTTCCAATTCATGCAAATGGCGGAGCCCAGTAATCGTATGCATGGCAGCGACGACAACGTCAACTTCGGAATACAACAGCTTCGGGTTTTTTCTGACTAAAATCAATTCATTAGAGCATTTCTACATTGATTTTATGAGCTACCAACCTTCCTCCAAAGTATATGGCATATATGGGAAGCTCAGGATCCCAAAGTTCCATCCATCCTTTCCTTCGGTGTGTATCCAATCGGCCACTAGCAGGTGCACACAAAAAGATGTTTTCAATGCTTCGTTGACCAGGCGTTCACGGTTGAAATGTCTTTCCGGAGGTGAATCGCCACCGGGGCGAAAAGGGTACACCTTACGTACGCCGAAACTGGATAATTTAAAATATAGAGCAGGGCACAAGAGACATACCTGCCGGTATGGATTAGCACATCAACGTGCGCATGTTTGATTGTCTTGGTGTCGCTTGGTACATCAAACGGGTAGCGGAGTGGCTTTGCCGAGTCAGCTGCCTCAACAGCCTTCAACGTTGCGTCATCATCCATTGTCAAATCGCCATCAAGCAAGTCTTACAGCCACGTCGAGTAGCGCAGCTATGAAAATCTGTTTATCAGTTGGCACTACCGTCCTTTCGCGATGCTGAAAAATCAAAAGCTAAAGTGCAACAAGGTCGCGTCCAACCTCGAAAGCTGTTTACCCAAAATCAAAACGTGCGATCGGTTTTGCTGGTTTTTATACGTATGTTATCTAACGAACGGGCGCCACCCCCAATTTGTAAGAAGCTGCGGCTGTTGAGCAACGTGGAATCGATCGACTCGGTCGCCAAATAGCTTCTAGTGTTCCACGTGTCAGGCACCTGCTCTTCCAGTCAGCACTCCCATACTCGGCTCGACGTCGTTGGTCTCGTTGAGACAATCTAAGTCACATCCTGCAGCGATCTGGATACCTACTTCTTTACTATCGCAAATTGGGATCGGAATAAAGTTTTCCAAAATAGCATACCAAATGTTTCGCGTTGGGCCGTCTGGCCTCGCTCCGATTTTTGTTAATTGCAATTTCTGGGACAATCCATGCTTATGTCTGTTTTGCACAAGAAAGTAATTTCTCGAAATGGGACGAATTTGATGTCAATAATTTATCCTGATTTTTTTGTGTTTAAAAAATTTCAAATGCCTTTAGCCCAAGCAGCTTTATTCTGCATTGCAATATAAAATATATTTCAAGTTAAGAAGCAAATAATGGTAGATTGGATGCATAAATAGGTAAACACGTTTGGATGTATAAACAGATACCGAAAACTAAATTTTCAGGCGGAGCCTAGAAATTGTATGTCAAGACCGAAAGCAATAAGTCTTATTTGAGGGCAATGGCTAGAGGGTATCCCAAAAAATCAGCACCCCTCTGGCGGACCGCGGAAGTTTCCGATTTTGACGATTTCCTGGCAGCCTGGCTTCCTGGCAGGTCGGCAGCGAATTTTATCGTGTTAAATACGTGAATCGACGTGCTTCGAGGAGCCGATTACGAATATGTACCAAAAGAAAACAAGGGGAGGCCGGCAGGGGAAAAGTTCTGCGACTTCAAAGATTGCAAAATGCGCAAAAATGGTAGATTTACTGCTGTACGAATTCGAGAAGAAAAATGAAGAAACAGTTAGATAAAGCATCTTGCTCAGGTGAATATGCTTTCTAATGAGCTATGTAACATAAGGATCATGAGAATTACGCGGAAACCTCTCCTACTACGCATACCAGCCCTTGCAATCGATCTCATTTTTGTCTAGCTTTATGAAATTCGCTGTTCAGACACTGAACCAGCGGGGGCCATGCACAAGCAGCTGCCAAGGCGTAGCTTTAATATCACCTGCATCAACATCGATTTTTTTTTTGAAGGCGCGGCCTTCCTTTGAAATCCCAAGGTCCAAAAGCCGGAATGTATAACCCATCCCCGCAATACGAGGCATGCATTACGGCCCTATATGTAGGATTCTCGATCGTCGGCCTCGTCGTGTTTGTGCTTATCGTCTATTTTATGCAAACTCAGAAAACCGCAATCTCAAGGAGTTACAAATGGGCGCAGCTGAACTTGCTGGTCAGCTTGGCGGGTTGTAACGTCTAGACACAGGCTATAGATTTCGTCGCAGCTGGCCGATACGACCGGTTGGTTTTGCCAACCCTTGATCTACGCGCCGTACCCGGCCGTGAAGATGGAGTTGACATTTATCCAACACGATCGATTCCGATTCCATTTAGCATCGGTAGGTTAGAAAAAATCTAATTCCTAACCTCCACAGAGCCTCTATTTCTCCTTTCTGGCACACTCGATATGTGCCTTCCTGTATACGGGTGTTATGAAGGCATCAAAGACCACGCAACTTTATGAAGTCTACTATATGATCGCAAGCTATTACGTATTCGGGCTAACTATTCTCTTGGTGATTCTCGTGAACATATCGGTATGGGTGTCATACGATCAAAAGCTGGTGCTCGACGACCCAGACCAGGTAAGCACATCCTCTACAGAGTGCCCCAAAAAATCACCCCTCTAGCCGGCCTCAGACCTTTTCGATTTTGAGATTTAAAGAAAGATCGGGCGATTTATAGAAAGCTCTGGAGAAGGCGAATCCAGCATGTAAATTCGATTTTCAAAATTTAGCTATTTTTTTACTAGATTTTCAGTATTTTTGAGGCAAAAAGGACACGCTTTTTGTCAAAAACTCAATTTAATCGGTCTTAGGTTATCCAAGCTGTGTTTTCGCAAACGGCTTTCAAAAATCCGTCGTTGGATAAGTTGGAAAAGTCCTTAAATTACTATTTTTGCAAAAAAATCCCTTGGACAGAAAACCCTCAGAAATTCCCCCGTTTCGCAAGAATATTAATGAATGAGGGCCGCATTGCGAAAAGTTTGAGAATATGTGAGACGTGCTAGGCTCGCCTTTCCACGAGTTTTAGATATATCCCTAGATCGTAAAAATCCGACACTTCGGCGGGCGGCTAAAGGTGATTTTTTTGGGATACCCCGTACAGTCCGAAGCCCGGCCTTTTCAGATCTGCAATGAGCAGCCAGACCTTTGCGGCATCCCAAATCTCTTCTACATCCAACTGCACCCATTCATGGTCACGATGATGAACATCATGGCCGTAATTACCGTTATCACCGTGATCTTTTATATGCATCTATGCGGCACGAACTACTATCAATATTTCTACGTCGAGCGAAACCCGGCGGAGAGCCGACGGACGCAGTACATGCGCCGATATATTTGGATTGTGTTCTTTTTGCAGGTAAGACATCGCATACCAAAGCGGTCTTGTTGAACAGTATTGTCAAAGACAGTGCGCAAACTACCGCGCAAATCACCTGCCGGCGCCCAGCGGTCCGCATATCTAAAAATTGCGTTTTATGAGCGAGAAACGTCGAGCGCCGCCCTCCGATTTCGGGACATGAGCCAATGTTGGCTCATCTTTACGCCTATAACAAGTACAAATATTGGATGCGAATTCACTTATTATGGGGCAAAAACATACCGGGTGTCCCATGAGAAAAAACCCCATAACTCGACCCAGAAGTATCGGATCGGAGCGAAAGTCACTTCGAAGGCCATTGAAACTGCGAGTTTGCAACGATCTCCAAAACTATGTTTTTTATTTGATTGCGGCCACTTCCGATTGTTTTGTTTGGAGAAATTGAAGCAAATTAGCTCGGAACCCGAAAACAGCAAAAATTTTACAAAACGGCGGTGTACAAAGCTGGTTTGGATAGCAACACGTTTTTGAAGATGGTTGCAAACTCGCCGTTTCAAAGGCTTTCGAATCGTGTAACTATCATTCCGATCCGATACTTGCCCGTCGAGTTAGAGGGACGTTTTTATTGGGACACCCTGTACTTCGTAGTCAATAGTCAATAGTTTACTTTATTTTTGCCGTAGTTGTTTACTTTTCACTCGCTAAATCGTTTTCCGCTTTAGTCAGTATCTGGCCTCTGTTTTCTGGCGTTGCCCATTTTTTTGCTGCTCCTCGTTTTCCTGCACTATATCGAATGGGAGCCGATCGTTCGTGGTGAGCTTTGAGGTTCGGAATAAACGGTTTATCTAGCCGCCGGACTGTTCACGCTGTGGGTGTCGTTTCATTCTATCGCGAATAGTCTAACGATCCTATTGGCAACACGTACTTTCCGAGAAGAAACACTACGCAGCTTACGCGGGCTGGCAAGGGTAAAGTTCGGAATCCACAAAGCTTCAACTTTTTTTTTTAGTTCCTTACTTTCTGCTTGTTTGTGAACACATCCACAACTCCACGAATCATCGTGACTGCCCCTGCATCGAGTGTCACCCGATGGAATAACGGCCGAAATAAATGATATTTAGCGGATCTTTGAACCAGGGCTAACACGCGAATCGTTTTTGCTTCTTTTTATTTTACTTCCGCGACCCTAAGAGCAAGATGAGCATATTATGCTCATAACAAAGTCCCCGGAGGTTTTTGAAACGCTAATTAGGATATTCCTTTTCGTTCCAATGGCCCCTGCCTTTTGCATTTTTTATGCGCAGACCATTTTAGAACTCTGCATACCAAACATGTTCCAAACAATACATTGAAAAGTAAAAAGGCCAATACAGAAAAATCGGTTTTAAGCGGCACCTGTGAAGTTATACAGGGTGTCCCAAAAAAAGCACCCCTCCGGCATTTCGCCGTATTACATACGATCTAACTGCTGTAGCTGGCGGGCTCTAAGTCAGGATTGTGGTTATTTAAGGACTGATACATCTCTGTTCCAAATTTGGGACCGATTGGATGTAATATGGCGAAACGCGGGAGCGGTGCTTTTTTATGGGAAACCCTGTATTGATGTACCAATTGCGGCAATTTCGATTTAAAAAGACTGTCGCTACGCACTGAATAGAGCAAGGCTTTATCTGCACACTCACCACATAAACTACCATAATACAATACAAATACAATACAATACCAATTTGGCTTCGCATGCATCAACAGCATTTGCAATCAGGTGCGGCCCTCGGTTGTATGACGCCTAGCGCCCCAAATCTTGAACCGACCGGGAATCGCGAGCAAGCCCCTGCCAGAAACTGTTTCATAGACGCCGCTGCTAACTTGCTGTTCCGAAATTGCGGCCAATGGCCTTGCCGTGTTCTCCCGATGCTCAACATCGACACACGGCTGGAATGGGGTTACTACCTCCATGGAGAACCGCGGAATTGGGCGTGGGCCAGCGAGATTTCCATTACTCAAAGCTGCGGTTCCGGGTTCCGCTTCAGAACGTAGAAGAGTAGGCGGAACGTCGATCGCAACCTTGTGATTTACTTTTAAGCAGCCAAGCTTAGATCGGCTAGGTCGTTCTACAATTCTCGAGGTAGAAAGCGCACTCTCACACCTTGCAGCGCGAATAGGAGCCTCAGTTTGCGAATGTGTTGCCGGCAATGTTGCAGTGAGGCGCTGCCAAGTCACATCCCGTAGCAGAGCGTCACCCGGATTTACGCTATTTTGAGGAGTCGCCATACTTGTGGGATGTTGATCTATACGTGTGGTTTGTTCGTTGGTAAACCCTTCTGCGTCTTCAATTTCGAAAGTTGAGATTAGTGTATTTACTTCGCTCTCGTCATCCGAGCATTCTGAGCTAACGAGCGTTGATTCGGCGGACTCCGGGTCGCCATATGAAAAACTTGGATTAGGTTGCAGAATCGTCGAGCCTTCCTGATCTTCTTCCAAAGTACCCGGGCCTGGCCCTCGGTGATTGTCTTCAGCTACCGGTAGCGCGTGCATAGAGCTGAGAGTTGAGTTTGAGGACGATTGGGTTGTCTGTATTTCCTTGCGCCGTTCAATATCGGCTTCCAACGTCCCGTTTGAGGATTGGCTTTTGCTCAACTCGTCGCTCAGGCCCGTATGAACGCTGCCCCCGATGGCATCCACGTCAGCATCGCTTTCCTCGGCCAAATTCTGCATACAAGGGCCGAGCCGTCGGAAGTACTCGTAAATTGCGCAGCTGCCAGGCTTTAGATGTTCAAGTCCACTTGGTTTCAGAAGCTCGGAGCTTTCCACATTGACAACATCAAATCGCCTCTTGAAGAGCGGCGGATTCTTAAAAAAAGTCACAATTACCCGGTTATCGAAATAATTACCTTTTCGGCGTGCTGGTTGATAATTTTCGATAGATCGGCGGCGCTACGGCGGAATGAGGCTTCTTCGGAACATCTAAAAAAATAATGATGATGCAAGGAGTTTGTCGGCGAAATTGGAACTGTGAGCAAAACTCGAGCGGTAGCTGGACAGATGCGCAAATTTCAGGCACGCGCAAGCGGCGCGCCACCCTTTACCAGTTTTCCCGCTCGCACTTATGGTTCATAAACTACTCTTATACAAAAACAATACTCTAACTCACGCTCTAATGAAGTCAACGATGAAATGCTGCCCGTTTAGTGGCGGCACGACCCATTCATTTCTTCGGTGAAACTCGAAAAACTTTTCCTTCGGAATGTGGCGGAAGCATTGTCTATATATTGGCAACAAATAAAATGTATGATAACCATCTATAAGTGATTAATAAAATCAGAATAAATAATATCAGTTCTAAAGCTTACTCTCGGGTCGTCAATTCCCATAAGGCAACCGCCAGGCCCCAGATGTCGCACGCAAAATCGGCCTGAAATCGTTGGTTAAAACGTTTACAAGATTTTATTAAAGAAAGAGTTGTGCAAAAGTCAGCAACAAACCGTTTTATCCACCAGTGCTCTCGGATCCATGCAATGAGTCGTCCCGGTGCCCGTCAATCTATCGGGATCAGTCCAGAACGCGACGAGCGAGATGTTGAAGTCGCCGATCTTGACGGTGCCGTGTCGATCCAAGAAGACACTAAAACAGCGCTCTGTATTTTAGTATTCTTAGCTGACTTTTGGAGCTTCAAATCCCGATGGATAATTTTCAACTTGTCGTGCAGGTGGGTCAAACCGGTTGTGAGTTGCATGGCGGCAGAGAGTACATCAGCTGCAGAGTAGTAAAGCCGTGGGTTGTCTCTTACTAAAAAATTGTATTTATTAGGTACTTTCCCGGGATATAATCCGAAGCTTTTATTCAGACTGTTAATACGAAGAATAAGACGGTTAGCGGGGTGGGGGGACTTTAGCAGGAAAAACGAATTTTTTCTTTTCTGTTTATAGATAACTCTTAATAATAAATAGTGTATTTTTATAAATCGTTCCGTGGTTTTTAATTTCTAGAAGTACACAAAAATCTTTAAACACTATTCGAAATTTTGACCTTTGATGGTCATTTCACACATCTTTGACCAGCGACTCAAGAATTTTTGAAAATTTGTATGGGTTTTTGCTGAGCTTTTATATCTAAAAACTATGTAAAATACTATCAAACCAGGGTTGAAAAACCGCTTCGCGGCTTTTCAACCCTGGCCCCGTCCAGGATCTGTGAAAGTCCTTAATTTGCATGTTTCTTCCTGAATTCTAGCAAGAAAAAAAAAATGAAAAACGGCTCCTCTTTCCCTTTATATAGGCTCTTCCTACTTCCGGCGTTTGCTAATTTCCTCTAACAAACAGGGTTTTACAAAAGCCTATTTTTAATAGCGAAAACCGCAATCTTTCAAAATTTTTATGTGTGTGCAGTCGATTCCGGACCATTCTAAACCTATTGTCGTTTCTTCCCTATCCAAAAAACCCTTCCCCGAGGCTGTAGGAGCGGAACATCCTAACGGAAGTGCATGCAAATATACACACAGACACACACAGACACTATTTTTTTATATATTACTACTATCAAATGGGTTTTATTATATTATAGGATCGTACAGAATTAGTGGGAAAATTTAGTTCCACTTGCTAAAATCCCCCCCCCCCCCATTAATAGTCCAGTCGCTAATCGGGATATGTTCAAGAGAATCCACCTTCCATGAAGTATGAAAATTGACCAACCCTCTTCAAGCGTGTAGTCCATGTAAGGAAATCGCAGGATCCCATAGACATAATCTCCATGTTCGAAGATTCGCAGCGAATCCGGAACGGTCGTAAGTAGGTGTTTGCATGGGCGCTCCTCAATAGCATCGTGAATCATACGCTCCCGTTTGAAACAGCGTCGAGCCTCAAGTGTGGCTTCTGATGGCCTGTCAGGGCTCTTCAAATAGCCATAGATTTTCCTCACGTCTCGCCTAATAAAATTCACATAATTCCAGAGTCCAAGAAGCCTACTCTTCCTTGTGGATCCAAATTCGTACATGATTCTGCCGGATCAGCTTGGCCCCTGCCGGCAAATCCGCAGGATAAAATTCAGGCGCCATAATTAGGAAATTTTAGCAGATCTCAATTATCGATTTCATAGGAATTCTGTGTCGCAAGTTTTTCCTCGGTCGCAGTCGCAGTCTTATCACGTTTAGTAGGTGCTGGGGCGCAGTAATCTATTTTTTTCGGCTTCTCGAAGCGGTCGGCTTTGTCAGCATCGGGGATGCAAAACGACAAATATTTTGTAATAAGCGTTAAAATGGTTGCATACAAAAGGTTGATAAACTGTATTTGCTAGTTGGCAGCAGCAAATTTTCTTACTGCCAAGCAACAAATTAAAATGCATAAAATCGGGTAAGGCGTGTAAAGCGAGCGAACGCGAACTGCTATTTCCAACTGCGCAACCTTGAGGCCTTGAGCCAAGGACCAACCGGAAACGTTTTTCAAAAGTCTGCCGGCGGCAATACTCGTATTTGTCCGAAGCTCTTTCTAGTTTTTTTCTACCTTTCCTAACCATACTCTTTGCGTCAACGTGCCTCCGAATTGTGCGGGGTGTACTTAATGCTGAACGAAGCTGAACGGTATACTTGATTGGTACTTGTGTTAGCGCCGAACCACCATCATCTCCATGTGGTGTGTACCCTGACCTTATAATTCTTTAGACGAGGACTAATAGGCATATGGATTCTTAATAGAGCTGTTGGTGGACCTGTACCTGAAAAGGATTCGTTGCCCACAATGCGTTGCGGAAGCTCTTCAAGATCTCCGAAACCATAGAACGGCGACTGGCTTATTTGACTGTGTTTCGGTTTAACCGTCATTACTTGTACAAGTGTTTCCAAAAGGGTTGCATCATTAAAAAGTCAGTAAAGTAAATTGTTGGGCGCTAACAAACGGCCATTCAACGGGTTCTTGGTTGTGCATGTCAGACCCCCCGTCTGCGATTTATCAGTAGCAAGGGCGCCCTCATGTAAACCTTTCCCGATCGCCTTTCGGATTCACGGAATAAGCCATCTTCTGTCGGAAATCAACTAAAATATTGTGTGGAAAAATGGGAATATCCGGGCAGCGCTGAGAAGAGACAAATTATAAAATTGACGGCAAAGATTCCCATGCAGGATTTGGAACATCATCATTTCGAAAAATCAGCATTCTAAGTGGACAAAAAACAGAGAAAATCTTATATTGAACTAAAATTTCTAGCTCTTGGTCGTGAAATTGAAATCGCGTTAGTCCTTAGAAAAAAAATCGGGCTGATTGTTTAGAACCCGCGTCTTTTTGAAATCGTGGCTTTCTAAAGGGTGATTTTAAATGAGCATTCGCCAACCGCCGCCAGAAGACTGACATCATAGGCCACTTTTCAGAGATGAACCAGCTGGCCGCGCTCTAGCTTCGAATTGTTTAAACTTTTAACGCCGAAAATTTGAATTGTAGCCAGGAGAAGTTTACAGGGAAGTCTAGAAATGTGCGATTGTGCCACGAATTTAATGACCCGCAGTATCGAGCAATTTTCAGATTTTTTTAAAATGTCACAGTCCAAACGTCAGCACCGTCCGGGTCGCATAGCTAGAAACCACTTTCCCTACTGAAAATCCACTCGACAACAACCGGCTGACCATCGACACGAATGCCCTCCGAACAACTTTCGCTGTTCCTTAAAAAAATGCCCCTCGGAGGGACGGTACTTGACGGAGGCTAACTAGGCGTGGAAATCCTGATCCGCTTCACAGAGGTCTACCGGCTGGCAACACGGAGTCCTCAGATTTTCCCCGGTTCTCTGCATCCTGGCGCAATATAAAATGTCGTAATTTTAGCCAAATGATCGATAGTGATTCCACCGAAATTTCCGCTATTATTACATTTTTTTAAGTTTAGGCTACTATACACAATTATTTTTACTATTGTTTTCAACTATTTTAGGCGATTAATTACTGAAGATTATCATAAAAAGCATAATGAATCCAAATATAACGCAAAACAGACAACACTTTTATACGGTCTTACATTTGCCAACATTTTCAAAAAAAGGCGAAATATGGGGCTCACTGATACCATCAATTTAAGGTAGTTAAACTTATAAATTCTGATCTAAAATAGCTTATTAAAAATCACTGGTTTTGCAGTTTATTCATATTAAATGGACTGAAAAATAGCGTATCGAAAACATTTCACCCGATTTGTGAGAAAGTAGATTTTTGGTAATTTTCCGTTTCTCCAGCTTAATATTTTTCCAATAAAAACTTAAAAATGTCAAAATTAATACTATAAAATAACTGTGTCTCTAAATACCTATATAATCTCTTTCCACAATCAAAATCTATAAACTCTATTACTCATCTATGGAGAAAGGGGTTTGGTCGAAATTCCTCCCCCTTCCCCGACCGATCCCGTACCCTTTTTTCGGTGGTAATTTCAATTTTCCACCCGGGAGTGCCCGGGAAATCCTCGACAGCCGTGGAACCGTCTCGATCCTACACTTGTTTACTATACACGCATCGGTTCCGGTATCGATTCTTGGATGGAATTTTCTAGCTTAATCCTTCTTAAAGTGTTTCAACTATATAACGGTTTCTTCTATCTTTATTTAATGTATTTAATGTTTAGATTTTTTGTCTATATATTTGTAGGTGCTTTCAAGAGGTTTTCTCTATATTTTTCTCTTCTTTTTCTCTATATTTCAGCTACCGTATCCCTTTTTTTAAGATGCGCCCAAAACCTTGGTCTCAGCTCGGGCTAGCGTTATTTATCCTGCAGCTGGCTTATGGTAATTTTGTCAGATTTTAGTGACCATAACCTGTTCATTTAAAGCTCTTCCACCCGGTGTTCGAAGACAAGCCGAAAATCCCGTAGAAATCGAGCCGGAAGTAGAAGAAGCTGAGCCGATCGTTGATGAGTAGGTTGACGCTAGGTTTCGGTTTTACATTTTGCTATCGCTGCCCCTTTAAAACGATGTTTAGACCCACGCCACCCCCAAGAAGAATCACTTGGATGGTGATGCCCAGTACAAGGACCTTCACGAGGTTCCCGGAACCTGAAAAGACCGAAATTCTGCCGATCGGTGGCGAGTCGTTCAGTTTTCAGCCGATGAAAACGTCGAATAACAGGATTACGAGATGTGGGTTTTTATAAGGAAAAATAACGATTTGGTAAATACTGAGAACCTGGAGAAAATAAGCTAAAATACACATTTTGGGGAAGTAGCTTTAGTCGCTAGAATTTTTTATTAAGCGTCGAGCGTTAATAAAATATTAAGGAAAGCTATACTATTTATATCTACTCGAATTTTTAGCGCAAAAATACCTGAAATCTTATGAAAACCCATCTTTAGTCTTCCCGATGCAAGTTCGACCCGTCGTACGCCAATCATCTACGGATTTTGCCCCTAGCGGCGGCAGCTTCAGCAGTGGCCCAGCGGAAGGCGTTCAACGCTTCCAGCAAAGAAATGGACCGGTTTTCCAGGTATCTAAAATTTCGTCGTTATGATTCCGTTACTTGTCTATGAAAATCTTCCCGTGTTACAGGCCGACTCCAACTTCGAGATGAACGATCCCGCCGGTTTCCGGGGTTCTTCGATATTCCATTCGGAACGCTCACCACCGCTGAGCGGCACTCTGAATACGGCCAAGATTTCGTCTTTTGATGCAGATGAAAATGACCCGAATCCGCCGCAGGTATGAGGTTATGTAACTGTCTCGACCTAGGTGACGGAAGGGGTCGTGATCAGGCCCGTACGGGAGCCGAGATTTCGGGGGGCACCCACCAAAAATTTTGGCGACCTCCCCCCGGTCGCCACTTTCAAAACCTTCGAAAATAGCGACAATTTAGAAAACCGCGTTCGTACCGCTTAAATTCGTGTGAAAACACATCGGAAACGGCGCGCGCAAGCGAAATTTTGTTCACCAAGATGGTGCACTAATGAAAACGAGCGCCGCAGGCAAAAAATTTTAGAAAAATAGGTTTTCTAGCAGCAAAAATTGTTTCGAAACAGTGATAAACAGCGCCGCAGGCAGAAAAATGTTTGCGAAGAAAAACATAAGGGTCCCCCCTTATGAACTTTTCGGACCTCGACCGATTTCGGGGGGCACCGTGCCCCCGGTGCCCCCTCGTACGGGCCTGGTCGTGATCTACATCTGCGGACGGAAGTAAATGTTTCAGGTGCACACCAGCGTCTCCTCGGCGTTCATTCCGAATACCCCTGGGGCGCGCCCCATCCCACTACGCGTCCATACCTTCGAACAGCAGCCGCAAGAAGACCAGGGCGAACAGTTCCCACCTCCAGAAGATGGACAACCTCAACCTGAACACTTCGCGCCTGCTCCTATGACCCGTCCCTCAACATTCAGCACAGATGATACTACCGATACTGATGATGGTGGTGAGGTGAGGATTCTTACCACTTGTTTTTTGAGAACCCATCTTTAGGACCAAAATAAGAAATCGGAGGAGGAGAGCTCTGGTCCTCCAACAGCTGAGGGACCAGATGGCAAGATTTCGGAGAGCTCCCACGTGGCCGAGCCCGGAACTGGGCATCACCTGCTCGCGGGCGCAGTACAGTCCGATACCTTTGGCAGCTTCCATCGGAGCCCGACATCGAGTGGGTTGTTTTGGGAAGATTTACGTGTGCATGTATGATAATATCTAATGTTTCGTCTCATAGGATACTTTTAAGCATTAATGATATCTTTCTGCTAGTTTTTTGCGAAATTTCGGTAGACCAGCTGTTGAAAACATGTTTAGCTATCACAAATGAACATGTTTTTTGGACGTTCAGTATTAGAATTTCGTGTTTTTCAATTATTTTTCGATAGCGTGCTATTTACCTCATTGGGAACCTTAAAGTTAAACTAAAATATGATAACGTTCAGTTGGTGCCACCACCTTCGACTCAAAGGGTATGGACTCGGCGAAGAAAATGAGCACAGCAGTACACGAGACCCCGGATGCCGATCTGGTTAAACAGACCCAGGAGAGTAGACAGTAAGTCGCGCCTTTGATCAAAAAAATGACAACAATCGTTTTAGTATCATTCCGACTTCCTTTTTCAGTCGCGCCGAGGACCAACAAACCTCCAGCTCGTTCATCGACGACACCGAGCTGTCGCACAAGAAATTCGAGAGCCAGGGAAGCCACTCGGCTTGGCATACACATCGATCAAGACATAAGACTGTAAGTTAAAGGTTTCAGCGTGTTTGGTAAAGCTACGCGCAAAGTTAAAGGTTCGGAAAGCCCGTGCTAGGTCTCAAGAACTACACAATGCTCCAAATTACGTATGCAGCTCTCCAGACCTAGCTAACCGAGGACAATAGAATTGGCATTTGCTATTTCCTTTAAAATTGGTTACTCATCCTCTAAAAATATTTCCTTGTTCACTATCTTTCTGGCTATCAAATTCCACAGCCCCGAACCGGTTTGCGTAGTGGAACGTGCCAGTCGACCTCTTGCCTGACACTATTTTTTGGATAGGGTACTCAAGGCCAGGATTTCTTATCATGCTCACCCGAATAATTCAAAAATGTCTCTGTGCTATGACCCCGAGACATCTGCTAGTATGGAGAAAAAATTCCAGGGTGAATTTTCCACATGTTCGAGCATTAATGTCGTCGTAGACTTACTATAAATCCATCGTAAAAATAGTTAATAAGTTGTTATGTGATTTCTTTTACTATTAAAACTAAAACTAGGCTTGATAGATTCAACAGAGCGGATTGTTTTTAAAGATGAAGGAATTAAAAATTGTCAAACCAAGACTAAAAAAGTTAAGTTAAGGAATAATTTTAAGAATTAGTCGGATTGCTTCTCCAGTATGTGTCAAAACGATAGAGCCACCTCTTTGAACGCTATTATCTCGGCCATCGTCGGGTTTGACGTCAAGTCAGTTAGCAGGCCTTGTAGTGCTCACAAAGGCGCATTTTTCCATCTACTTGAATTTTTTTAAAAATAGAGCCCTCTAATTTATAAGCCTGAAAACAAAATAGGACCAAAACCAGTTTTTTACGATTTACGGTTTTACGTAAGCATATCAAAAACGCAGTTTTACGACTCATCCGAGAAGAAATAGATAGTTATGTCCTGGCGCTATGAACGCGTTATTATCCGAATCACGTTTCTAAAATAAATAAATACAATGTTTTAGCATATTGCAGTAAATAGCTTGAATCTAGGTCAAGGGATCTCAACGACGACATTAGTGCTTAAATGAGTTTATCATTGATGTCCGCAGAGGCTCAGTCTCCATATGAACAGATGTCTAGGCAAGACATCGAGAGGGATCCCAGGGCCTGATAAGAAATCCTGGCCTTGGGTGCCCCGTCCCTATTTTTTATCGCCACACCGATGACTAGTGATGAAATCGAAAAGTGGTTGACTTCCTTGAAAATGATTGTATCTGATACCTGGAAGTCGGAATATAACGGAATATTGTTTATTGAATTGTAGTGAATAACAGCAAACAAAAGAAAGCCTAAAATGGAACATGAATGTTGCGACAAAGTGATGAAGGTTTTCTAGAGTCAGCCCACGGAGGAGACCCAAGTGTTCCGACTCGGAACTGGTAAGGGTAGCACGACAACTTTTGGACGGACCTCTGCGACGACATTCTTGGGCTTGGACACCCCAACGACCGAAGGGAAACGATTCGGAAATAAGAATGGTGCGTTTTCTAAAGGGTAGTGGAGGTTGGAAAATTTTTGATAAGTTTCTAAATTTAGTTGATCTCGTAAAAATGACAGAATTATATAATCTTGAAAAAATGTGCTGAATTGACTAAAAAATAAGTAATCAACCGGTTTTCAGACTTCTCGACCCAGTTCATGGACTTTGACCCAACCCATTTTATGACGAGCAGGAGCGCCAGGTGGAGGCGTAGTATTAACGTGATGGAGTCGGGTAGGCAAAGAGCGGCAGAAATTCGGAATACTGTTTTTAGAAGATAACGACAAGAGGCCGTTGATCCATATGCCTCCTTTCTCGGATATTCCGGTTCTTGGTATGTCTCTCTCTATCTCGTCTCTCTCTCTCTCTCTCTCTCTCTCTCTCTCTCTCTCTCTATCTCGCCCTTTCTCTCTCGCACTCTGGCCTGAAAGATATTGTTTAGCAAACGAACCCCTCGAAATCGTGCCTCGTCTACCGCAAATGAGCACCATAATGCCCCTGCTCCAGCCGAAGCCTCCCGTTGCGGAACCAGGTATTTGGATAAAACCAACATTTTTTAAGACTTGAAAGTTTATTTAAGGAAAGGAAGGCTAACGTAGTACAAGAATTAATACTCCAAGAATATACTCCAAAGTCGATTTAGCCCCCCCTTAGATGATCTAAACCCCCCTTTAGATGATCTAAGGGCCCCTTTACGGCCCAAATGGTTTGGACCGTAGCGCGGAGTCTTCTGAGCGAATTTTTTTTGGAACTGGGTTTTCTGGAACATAAAAACCGCCTCTATCCGATGGCGCTTTCAAAACAGCAGCGCTGTGGATAGATTTTGCGCTGACACGCTGGGAAGATCTAAGGGGGCCACTGGATAATCTAGTACCCCCCTTAGACGATCTAGTAAGAGTATTAGATGATCTAAAACCCCCCTGTTAGATACAAGCGGTCAAAAGGGGGGTTAAGAAACCAAAATTTCGAATATATTTAAAGAAAAAGCTAAAGATTTTAGGGTTTTCGACTAATGCCTATCCGATGAAAAGAAATACGGAGAATTCGATGTCATTGACCCCGAAAGCCAATTTTGGCAGAAGCTTCCGATAATGCCCGGAAAGCGATCTAAGCCCCCCCTTTAGACGATCTAAAAGAAAAAACTATACTTAGATCATCTAAGGGGGGCTTGGACTATTTTGACGACTTTTTGGTGTAACTTTTCGATGTCAAAAATGGTTTTCGGCCTTTAACAAGGTGTCATGCATGCAGATGGATAGGTTGGTATATCATAAGTCATATTTGAAGTTTTTCACCATTTTCATCCCCAGCCCAAACTTTTGGATCGCGGTTCCCATACGTGCTAGTCGGTTTTGAAACATTCCAAAAGGTCCGCTATAGTCTCATTAGCCAGATGACATTGCGTTTGAGTAAAAAATGACAAGAAGTCAAATGATTGAGCACGAATAGTTGAAAAGCCGACTGTGTAGGTTTCTTAGCGTTTAGCCTTATGCTCGCAAGGTCCGGGTTCGAATCCCGCCCGCGACATAACTTTTTGCTTTTTCATCAAAAGCTTGGAGTTGAATCTCTCTTTAACGGGAAGAAACCTTTCAGCATTTAAAGAGGGTTAGATTCAACTAGGCAGGCATAAATCGTCGAAAAAAGAGTGAAAAAGGCATCTAAGGGGGTACTAGATCATCTAACGGGGGGGTTAGATCATCTAGTACCCCCCTTAGATTGGATCTAACCCCCCCTTAGATAGGGGGGTTAGATCGACTTTGGTACCAGCCCAGCTATTTAGTATGTCGAGATCTGCTCGTCCTCTTCGATACAACTGGCACCAGCCCGCTGGTCTTCAAAAGAAACCGAAATCTCGTCAAGCAAATCGTCAATTCGGCCATATTACCCTGGCAGAAAGTGGTAGGTTAAGTATCGGAATTTAACATGTCTTTTAGGCTTCTTTGATTGCTTTCTCGACGATTGACAAGACAAAAGCTGTCGCCAAGTTTGAGGAGCGGCTCGATAATTTGGGCTTTATGAGGCGGATTGAGGGTAAGTAACTTTGAATTTATTTGAAGGCCAATGTAACTTATTTTTTTTAAAGTTACCAGGTTAACTTGGAACAGTAAAGATTGATAAAAATTGTGCTAAATAAACAAAAAAAAGCAAAAAAACGAAAGCAACTGGTGTGATTTTCAGAAATCGATTATTTTGGTGGGGTTGGAGACGTGGCTAATGCTCTCAAGATGGCAAACGACCTAATTGCCAAGAATTCGATGCCAGTGGATGTCATTTTTGTGTCTGATGGCTACAGGTAGGCTCTAAAGACTTAAAAATTAACACATTCTGCGCAAAAAACAACAACAGTGGAAAAAATTTATGTCGATTTACCTACCTATCGTACCGCAATGAATTGCGGCCGCTCTCCCTTTGTGCGCCAAGTTAGCTTTTCGATTTCAGCTCCGAAAACTACACGGATCCCCTTCAAAAAATGCTGGCAAATGATGCGAATCGTTTCTTCGTCTTGGCGCCGAACCACAAGAAGGTTTCGAGGTAGGGGCTAGAATATACTAGGCTGCACTAGACTACAAACTACCAGGCTACAAATTCAAAAAAATTGCGTTTTAGCCAACTCTCCATCCTCGTCAACTCTCAGAACATCTACAACAAATTTGAAAACCTTGAAGGCTTGCGTGATAACTTGGCTTGCTAAAAACCCTGCCATCTGGACCCTAATTTTCCACTGATTTCATCCGAAAACGTTTGTTCCACTTGACACCTATTGACGTGAATGTGTAATCCAAGTGCCACTTTTGTACATAGTTCTGTGCGGGAAATTGAATAAAGCTTTTCTTACGTATTAAATGTAAAATAGGTACAATACATCTTTACAAAAAATACTTTTATTTAGATTATTAAATTCCGCATCTGTACGGCCCAAAACTGGCCGTCCTGCTCGAGGCCGCCCTGGGCGCTGGCGAATCTTTGGATGCAGGCGTTCATTTCTGAAAAAAAATACTTTAAGGAGACGGAGGGAGAGAACGACAGAGAGAGAGGGAAGGTGCGAGCGAGAGAGCGGGAGAGACACACCTCCCCATTCCGGAAGCTGCTCGGCCAACTCGCCAATAACATAACTTCGCTCTTCCAAGAAAATCGGGAACAGCTCGAGGGCTACGGTAAGTTCCGCTAGATTCCTGGCGCCGACGTACAGGATATGAAATGACGCCCCGGAGCACTCGATCACCCGGGCGCCATGCTGAAAAGGGAATTCCCGAATTGGCTCTGCTAGGTACCCTGAGTCGTCACTAAATAGAAAACTTACAGCAGGCGGTAGTCGTATAGGGAAGACAGTATTTAATAAATTATGCGATTTCAGCTCCATGATATAGTCTTCATAGCCGCTGGAAAAATCCACGTGGAAATCATTAGGATAGTTATTCAAGAAAAGTTTAAAGGCTTTTAAATTATATGTATTTTTAAGTCATTAAACAAAGTCTGAAAAAAGCCCTATAACCAAAGATATTCCTCTCCAGAATTTCAAAAAGGGTTAAGCTATGAAGAAAATCCAAATATTTCCGCTGCCTTCCGATACTTACTCATAGATCTCAACCCGTTTTAACGTCCCATTTTTCGAAATATACGGCTCCGACATCCAGCTGGAAATGGCGATCAGATGGAACGTTTTCTTCCTCGCAAATTTCTAGATTGATGCTGAAAATACGCTCCAAGAGGTGTTCAACTACTTGGGCCGTCTCCATAAGTCTCACAGTACTCGCCGCGCTTCTCGGGTTTAACTCCAAAATTCGGGGCAACGGATTCCGATTTGCTACCTCGATTTGTTCAGATAAAAAATAACGATACAGTCTGACCTGCTTTAACTTGGTGGGCAGCAGCGACAAAGCCCTGGCTTCATTAATCGCCAAATCTGCATGTCCATCCGGCCCTTTTGGCCATTTTGGCTTGTTGATCACCGAAATCGTGTCCAGAAACTCTTGCCAGGACGCCATTAGTGTGCCCGTTGAGCCGGAGGCCTAAAACATTTAAAAAAAGCTGTTTAATAGGGCTGGGATGCGATAGAATTCACCCTTTAATGCTGGCTATGCTGGATAGCTACGAGATAAGCCAAATGACGGGTGCATAATTCGTCGCTATTAATCAATCGTTTTTAGGAGCTTGCATAGCTAGCAGCAGATTCTTAACCTTCCCGACACCTTTAAAGTCCAAAAACCTACCAACAAATACCCGCATGTCGTTGCGCGACTATCCAGCGTGATTTGTGCTTTGGCAACTGGGTCCTCAATCTCTGCGCAAGGTTCTATTATCTAAATCCTTAATTGGAAAAATTGTAAAAACAGACGGTAAAATTCAGCCGTCTTAATACGCGCATCATCTTACCTCATAATATAAAAACACGGCTCCAAAAACGCCGGCAATCGTAAAAACCAAGATTGACCCCAGCCACTGCCAGTACTTCTCCATTTATGAAAATTCTATCAGTTTCAACAACTAATTTTCAATAGTAATGGTTAATAGGACTTTTAGGGAGGATCTAGCTGGTTTTATAGATTTGGCGAAATTAACAGAATTTTCGGAGAGCAAGGTGACGAAAAATCGATGAGCCGATGGTTGCGTGCCAAAAGCCGGTACGCAACCATCGGCTCATGGCAATTAGCACCTTTTTTGGTTTGAACTTTGAGCAACAAAACTCATCGAATCATCGGTTCGGAGAACTTTCAAAACGTAGCATGTTGTTCATTTTTTTTCGCGTCCATAAATATTTCTTTTTCGTCAAATGCATCCTTCTTAAGGCCCTTAAAGCGCTTTATGTATTCTTCATTCACGCGGTGTCGTCAAGTCGCAGTCATTCCCATTTTTATTCATAGAAGCGTTAAAACCAGATATACACAACCAGCACAACACAATACAAAACACAATTTTCAGAAGAACAGGATAAGGCCGATGGGGATGAGCAGCCAGATGACGGTGTAGCGAAGCTTCGAAGAGTTTTTCGGAAGTCCATGTCTCGGGCCCTCCGTTGTTTCCCTCTTGTTGCAGTAATCCGTGTGGCATACCACGCAACTGAAAAATTCCATAACGTTAGAGCGCGAAAGAGAGAGAGAGAGCGCGCGAAAGAGACAGACAGAGACAGGGAGAGAGAGCGAGAGAGAGAGAGAGCGCGAGGGAGAGAGATGTCAAAATCCCTTACCTTATCACTGTAGAATCCTTTTTCTCTTCCTTACACTGCATGTCGGCGCATCCAGCTTCTCGCTTTACCAATTGACCTGAACATGAATTTCATATGCGCAAATTTTTCTTCCCACCTATAGTTCGCTGCTCACGTCGATAGCAAGCGTCTCCCTCGCACGGGGGATGGCAGGGCTCCGGTTCGCAGATACAGACGACTTTCGCCTCTGGCAATAGAAACTGTGTTTTTTAAAGGGATCCCCATCGGTTTTTTTGGGGGTTTTTTTTGCATCATCAGGGGGGCTAAGTTTTTCATGCAGGCCGAAAAATTAAAACAGCCTTGTCGGTGTTTGGAATACCTTTTTGAATGGTCGGAAGGCAAAAGTCTAGGAAACCCCCAGCCGACTTTTCCACTTTTCTACCGTCCTTATTTTTTGCTACTTTTTACTCAAATGCAATGCATTCTTACCAATTAGCCTACTATGAGATTTTGATATACTTTAGAGCTCCCTAGCACAACGGGGGGCCGAGATACAAAAGATGGTGGCGGCTGGGGGGGGTCCTAGACTCTTACCGGTGGGAAGGCAGAAGATGAGCAGCAAGAAGATCGACATCCTCATCGCGTGCGGCATCGCGTAGGTAGATGAACACCAAGCTGGGCCGGGAGGTTGGTAGATGACGATGGGTGGAAGTGGGGATTTGGTTGGAATCGAAAATGACACGATTTTGATGCGGATGTGCCTTGATTTAACCTCGAAATGTATGGAAATAGCGTCAACCTAGTCCATATTCAAATTTTTAAAATGCAAAACACAACGAAATAGCGCACTGTCTCTTTCTTTCGCTCTGTATCCCTCGCTCTCTCTCTGTCTCTCTCTCTCGCTTTAATGATGTAAAAGGTCTTGTTTTGTTGTTTACGTCCATGTAATAATTAGTTTTATTCAAAAACAATCTAAAAGCGCAAAAACAAAGATTCTAGCCCGACTACACGACTGTACAGGGTACACGTTGGGGTGGGGTACTCAAAAAACTCGCTGAGCAACGAAAAGTAAGAGGGTATAGGGTACAATCAGACAAAAATCACAGCGGCAGAGAGATAGACGAGAGAGAGCGAGAGAGAGAGAGGGAGAGAGAGAGAGAGAGAAAGTAAGTGAATTTCAAGAATATAATATTATAATGCTAGCTTAAATTAGATTCATCGACATAAAGAAGAGATTGCTCGATTCACAACCCGGAAATGCTTTGAAGTGACTTGGTGTGGAACGGGGTGATTTTCGATTGGATTTTTCAGGACCATAAAGGCCGGAAATCCATCGGAAAAGCCGGAATTAGCAGCCATTTTTTACCGAAATGGCGATCTAATCAAATTGCATAAAAGACACATCACAACCCGAGGTTTGTACAAAAAGCTGATCAATTGTAAGATTCGTGGATCGGTGGGGGGGGAGGGGCAAACAGAGAAAGGTTCTTTGCGGAATCGAGATATGTATAGGGACATTGAGGTTATGCGGATCTTAACAGTTTCACCGTCTCAAAAACAAGACTACAAAAGCTGGTAGTAGAAGCGAGAGCCACCATCTTGTAGCTGGAGAAGAGTTGCACTTTTCAGTTTGGCATAGGCACATCCTGAAAAAGTAATAAATCGATATTTAGTTGGTCCAATTCGTTTTTATTTTAAAGGAGCAAGCAAGGCACGACTATGGATTTTTGGGCGATCGAACTGACTTGGATTTGGATTACGTAACCCATTACGACACCTGTAGCACCGTCAAGAAGTGCTGGCTTATCGCGACTAGATTAGGATGCAGAAAAATACACACAAACAGCGAAAATACAAAGTTTTTCGCATGAATTTTGCCGCACCGTGACCCGCAACGCGTAATTTCCGCATAAATAAGCTGGTAATCGATTGCGCAATAGAAAGAGGAATACTCGCGCCAGGATACCCATAAGCCAGCAAGAGGCCTATTTTTGCCTTGTACGCCCCTTTAATACAAATACGACAAGTACTACTTACGTCTCTGACTTCTTCGTACTCGACCCGGGCAATGAAGAGCCCTGCGTCTGGCAAATCCCATCGTCGCCCACCTCTAGTCCGGCGTCGGTGGAATTCGTGCATCCGCTCTTCACCTTGGGGATTTTGCCTGAAAATACAAAAATTATATTTGTTAAAAGCCGTGTATAATGGTGTTGTGGAAAATTCGGGGTATTTGGTTATGTGACCCATAGCCATTCCATGAAATCCCAAAGAGAAAACGTGCTAGAAAAATTGAAAAGCAAGAAAAGTGCGCGGCAGCTTTTTAAAGGTGTCGGGAAGTCATGAAAAACCTTTTTCGCACCCAAAAAACATATTTAAGCAGCAAAAATCTTAAGGTCAAATTCTAGCAGTGTTAAAATAGCTTTTGGTATGGTTAACGATAGACGTAATTTGACTTTAGGAAAAAGGAGAATCCTTTCAAAACTCTTAAAACTTTTTAAAGGTGCAGGAAAGTCAGAAAACTGATACTAAACCAAAAATTTCGATATTTTCACTATTTTCTTGGGTTTTTCTATATTTTCCACTTTTTTAAAAATTCCTTATTGATTATCGATCGGGCCCCAGTTTCTGACTTCCCAGCCCCTGTAAAACCCAAAAATGTGCGCATGGAAAGGAAAAGCATGCACGCCCAAACTTGCCCTCCTCACCAGACTGGCCGTCGGCATCTGCAGAAATAATATTGCGGGGGATGAACTGAGGATGCGGAGAGTGAGCGAGAGAGTGAGAGAGTGAGAGAATTATAGATAGAGAGGCGGCACTCGGCTTGCAAGGTGCTGGAAAGAATTCGTACCTTCGATGCGGAGCTCGAGTTTGTAGCAATATCTGCCGACGCAGGTGCGTGTACATCGTGGTTCGGTGGAGAGGCACCGGAAACAGCTGATCAGAGGGACGCCTGGAAATCATTTAATGTTGGAAAAAATTTTTAGTAAATTTTTGCTCTCTCTCTGCTGCGACAATTTTCAAAAAATAAATATTAAATTTGATAACATGAAATTAGTGTTTTCAGGTTTTCCGCGTTTGTTGACTATTTTATTGTACATTTTTCGTGCCCAAATGCAAACTATCACAATATTTTTTTTCTGCCCTATCGAATGGCTGCCTCTAAAGATCAGAAAGCGAAAATGTCGAAAAATAAGGCTTTTCAGCCCTATCTTGAAACGTATTTTGTGTTTACTGTGAATTGTTTCTATACAAAATTTTTTTATATGATGTCAATCTTTAGAATACCAACCTGGCGGCGCTGCTACTGCCCGTTTTTGGGCCAACGTGATGGCGAGGAAGGCGGTGAGCAAGAATATTGTTGGAAGTAATCTCATTAGGGCTCTGAAAAATTATATTGTTTTAATGCAGTCGGATCGAAATTGAGATCGGGATCGAAAACGAGCATGAAAATTGAGAGTGAGCTTAAATTAAGGAAAAAATCGTGTAGCCACTAAAAGTCCAAAAGAGACCAGCAAAAGCTCAAAAATGCAGTTGTACGACCTTGAACCCGCGGGGGAAACCCGAGCCCGAAAAGCCGTATTGATTGGCTAGAGGGAAACGAGGAAAAATTGGGATTTAAAATGGAGCAATATAATGGAAAAGCCATGGGTATCCTCTGTTTTTACTAAATTGAAAGCTAAGGCTTATCCTATAAAAATAAGCCCTCGATTTGGTAATTCCTGCCTATCAAACCAAAGCCTGGGGAATTCCCAGGACCATGGGCCAATTTTTCAACTGATAAGAGGTGACGTTCCGGCCGTTTGGCCCGGCGTGCAGGAGGAATTTCAATGGCTGAGCTTCGAAGCTGTTTTGAAGCGGGATTTTGAAGCGTAAGAAGAAAGAGAGTGAGTGAGAGAGAGATAGAGGGGAGAGAGAGCGTGAAAGACAGAGAGAGAGTGAGAGAGAGTGAGAGAGTGAGAGAGAGGTCATCGCCGCTTCGACTTTCAGATAGCCGTAGAGCCCAAAAAAATGCATATTTCGAAAGCCCAAAAAACCACCCGAGGCCACAAAACCAGTACGTAACGCTCCTGCAGCCCTTTGGCACAAAACCAGTTTCTAACTGGTAAACGGGACTAGCAAAAGGTGCCACGTGTACCCTAGCGTATACTTTCGGAAAACTCAAAGTATGTTAAGGCATTGATAATCGCTAGGCTACGAAACCAGTTAATTTACACCCCGCTACGGCTGGAATTTCAAACAAAAAACCATGATTGATGATAGTATGGAAAAAAATAAGATTAAACAGACGGAAAAACTGGCAAGAGCAGAACAAAAATCAAATCTTAGGAAATTTTTTTGGGTCGAGCGAGGTTGGTAATTTCATTGCATAAGCGGTTCCCAACAAATCCCCGAGCAATCTGACCCGCTTTTTGCAGGAATCTGCGTGTTGCTGCGGTCTTGTCTCGTGCCCGCCTCCTCCCTCCAATCCCTTCCGTATTTTCGGGAGGGGCTGTAGGGCGGAGTGAAACGGAATGAAAAAAGAGGAGGAGGAGGAAAGGATCAGAGCGCCCAGAACAGCGAGGGTCGAGGCTAGATATGACTCACACGCTCAGGCCGTCCACCCTCCACACACAAAACGATATTCAGCCGGGCGCTGGAAAGTGGAAGTGAAGGAGGGATGGGGGGATGGCCTACGTAAGCCATCCCAACCACAACCTTCGCAAAAAACCGCCCAAAACCGCCTGAAATTCGGCGAATTTCACGCTCATAAAAAGGAGCTTTGCACCCCGGGGGTTACGCTTGATTGCGCTCGATTTTTGCAAGAGCAGCTCTTGCAACTTGCAGTAAAGGATTACCCGACAAAATTCCGCCCAGTGGATCTGCCAAAAAATCGTTTCCCTTAAAAATTTATAAAACCGTTAAACAGAATCCTTGATTTCATTAAAATCATTTTTAACAACTCTAAAATCATGTTTTTTTCTATGAGAAACGGTTGTCTACAGCTTAAGTTTTTCCAAAAACGCCATTCTTATTTTTTAAGGGAATTGAGGAGCCAGGAAAAGGACAGACGGCAAATTTTGTGTCAATTTTTTTACCTTTTTCAACGTATCGAGCCGATAAACGTGCGGAATACGGTATTTTTCCAAGATGAAACCTCCAGAAGCCATAAAAATAAAGGCATTTTTAGGTTTATAGAAGTTTTCATAGAGTTGAAGCTTATGCAAATGAGGCGCAGCAAAACACGCATGAAAAGGACCACAGAATTAGTTCCAGAACGTTCTAGGAAATGAAACTTGGAAAAAGAAACTTTAGAGTAAACGTTTTTCAAGATTCGAGATTTTTCAATCTATTCTATTAACCTAATATCACTTACAACCCGAATCTTCAAAGGAATGAAAGAAAAGAACTTAACTTTCCAGAGAAGGCCAAAAAAAGCCTTAATATTTCAGATCCAAGCTAACAAAAGCGGCTCCTCAGAGCCAAATTCCTCACGTCAGCCATAATTCGCTGCGTCAAATCGAGAAAGGACAGTCAAAACAGGGTGACACCTGTTTTCGCGCGCTGCAGCTGTGAGTGGGAGCATCCTAAAAAGTCGCACGAGCCTGCCGGGATAGCTCGAATTCCTTGCATACTTCGAGGGTGCTCTGGAATTTCATTGCAACCGGAAGGCATTCTTGAGACTTGTGCATGGGCAAACTATCTGAAGTTCCGTACTTTTGCCGGGCCAGCAAGGTATCAAAAATTCTTTGCGAAGTACAGAAACGTCATTGAAATAACGGCAACCATTGTAGACCATTGTAGAATTTAAATTCCGCTTCTAATATCCTCAATCAGCTGTTCAACCCGCAACACGTAGATTTCCTCAAAAAAGGCCAAAAAGGCGAGTAAATCCTTACAGATAAATCAGCGACAATGGTGCTTATAAGCACCCCAATGCACTCATAACGCTGACAAATTCCCCCGTAGCGTCGCGTACCATCGGTACAATAGAAAATCGAGATGAATCACTGATGAATGATCAAAACTGTTGCCAGGAGGATCCCCGAAAAGTCGCCGTAGAAAATGGTGCCCGATGAATCAAGGATGAATAATCACGATTAATACCACAGCGGAAAGGTAGTCTCAAAAGGGGGCCCCGGAAGGAAATGGCAATCAGACAAGCTCAACGATGCATCAAGGATGAATCCTCAAAAATTGTCAGACTTCTACAAAAGTTGCCGGTAAGAAAATAGTGGCTAAACGAATCAGGGGTGCATCAGCGAAATTACTACCACGCTAAAAAGTATCGTAAGGGCCCAGGCAAGGAAATTGCCCACGTTAAATCAACAATGCATATTCCAAAAGCGCTAGATAATGGTGGTTCAATGAATTAATAACTTAAATTACCATGTAGCACGATGGAATCACGGCAAAAATACGGAGAAGTAAGAAGTGAGGGAAGATAGAATGTGTGATGACTGCCGGGGCCAAAATCGGGAGGGCCGATGATTCACGGCGCCCATCCCCCCCTCCTCCGTCCGTTTGTTTGCAGCCCCGGTTTGTTCGTGTGTCCGCCTGCCCGAATTTGCCGTCTGTTTGTGTGTATCTACTCCTCAAAAAGGCCTTCCGACGGACCGTCTCATCTCTCTTCCACTCCCTTAAGCCCAATTCCGTGACTCATGGTCTCGATGTATTTACCCCAAATCACTGGGCACCTGTATATTGGTGTGTTCCGTACGGCCTGTTTACCCGCACTTTACGGACATGGATGACGGACAGTATCAATTCACGGGCGGAACTTGCACTGGTTTTTGTTGCACAATTCTTACGTAAGTGATCTGAAGGACTTTTAGAAATGGGAAATTATGCAACTGGGTCAATTAAGGTACTTTAAGGTATTGCAACGGCTGATATATCTCGTTTTTACACTGTAGAATTTGGGACGATTAATAAGAGCCATGAATAAAAGTAGAAAACAAAATTATAGAAATAGATAAGGATAGAAAAATGAAGACCAAGGCAGGTCAATGCCGCGCCACGATCATTACTCCCCCGATCATGCACCTTCGGGGAATAACTTTTTTAATGTCCTTCATTTTTCATATTTTAGAATATATAGAAATATACAAATTTAATTTCTCTAACTCTTTCTGTAAGTGTCTTAAATAGTTTTCTAATTTAAATATGGTAAGTCTATAGACACTATTAAAATACCGCGCTCGATTAATAGGTATTTTGGGGCTTTCAAGGATCAAAAGTGTTGCAATGCGAGCACCGTGTAGGAGAAAACCACTTTACACAATCAATGCTCGCTCGTCTAAAAAACTAAGGAGCAGTAACGGGCAACAAATATCTATTGAAGAACCATAATAATTTTTAACTCGGCGGTAAGACGTCTGAACGCAACAGGTGTAGAAAATATCTAGTAACGCACCGATAATACCTAAAAGTTACAAGGTAGCAAACTTCAAAACGTGCAAATTTATAGTGGGTTTCAGGCAGTTTTGTCAAGGTTTTGAAGCTTTTATCTAGCAGAAAAAGCTTACACTAGACCTTTACGCAAAGATCAGCCGCTCCCCGCCCACTTCAAAGGGCCCTAAAACGATCAGCAGGGCGCGTGACTAACTTTCCATTAGTGTGGGCGGGATGATGAAGCGAGATGAGACGAGAGCTAGGGAGAGAGAGAGGGAGAAATAGAGAGAGATAGAGAGATATAGAGAGAGCTAGAATCAGAGCAAAAAGTGTGTGAAGGTCGGGGATCGGATGTGGGAGTGGCAAATGGAAGGAGGTGAAAGGTGTAGTGAGGGATGGATTGTGAAAGTCGGTTGCGGACCCCGGGGCGGGGGCCGGGGACTGACCCCTTGAGGCCATAAGCAAACAGAAAAAGCAGCAGCCGGGGAAGGCTAGCCAGGGAAGCGCCGACCCCCAGGGATGAAAAGATCTGGCGAGGAAGATCGGTGAGTAGAAGGAAACTAACTGCCGGAATTTTTTTAGCATCAAAATGGTAAGACCAACAAATAAAAAAGTCTTTTTCAAAAAGTTAACGGGTCGGAAAACAGAAAAATACCAAGGACAGCCGAATAGATAAAAAAAATGCCTGGTAAGTGAAAAGTTTCGACGATCCCCGCTGAAGCCATTTTACGCTAGGAATACTAAAAATTTAGCTTCAGTTTAAAGGAAAAAAGCCGGTAATGACAACATCATCGGCTTATCACAAACTTGAAATTAGACAACTCGGCAAAAACCCTAAGCATGAATCATGCCCGAATCCTCTAATGATTCATTTTCTTGCAAAAGTAAAACACCTGATTTTTAAAAACTAGCAAGTAAAGATGCGCAAAATAGGACTTCAATTTCAGAAAAGGAAGGAAGAATCTCAAGAAAGCTTGATAAAGTGCACATAAAAGCTTGACAAAATCTGAGCGTCGAACACCGAAATTGCCAACGAAAGGACAAGGCGAAAATCGAACGCGCCCACCGAAGATTGCCTAATTTGATCCCGTCCCCTCCCGGTGAACCGGCGAATGGTCGACGACCGGATTTGCTGTTTGAAGCGGAGAAAGGGGGGTTTTCTTGCCCAGGGAGATCAAGATCGGACCCGGAAACGCTGAAGGAGCCACCATGCTTTCAACGTTTTTTTTGGGTTGCAAGCAAACAGAGCCTAGGAGGAGAAGTTGCAGGAAAAGCTTCAAGGTAAAGGTGTAGATCGAGCGTGTCCGAGCTTGGAGAAGCGCTTGATCGGCGATGAAATGGGTAGCAAATCTACGGAAAGCTTCAAAGAACGTTACAGGGGAATTTTTAGAGCTGGTCAAGGACTTAAGAGGCATCAATATCAACTCCAGCGGTTTACGGAGTATCGGCGAAGGTTAAGAAATGAGGGAACAGGTAATTCGTAGCTGTCGAGATCTAGTCAACGACAAGGTTGATTCTGTTGCTTTCTATTCACTCTAACCCATAAAAAAATATAGAAATATAAATTAAATCGTATTTCATGATCCACCCTTTTCAAGGCATTTTTCAAAAAGACTGTAGCCATAGACTTGGTTTTTCAGGTCCTTGAACCTACTTTGGAAACCCTCAAGTACCAAACCAAGGTTGCGCATTTTTGAAAAGGCGTCTCAGGGTTGAGGGCGGGTAGTGAATCAAAAGGAGCTTTCGAAGACGCGGTCTAGGTTGAATAAAATAAAAGAATTCCCATGCGCAATGACTTCAATTCGAAACTTGCAATTCCATTGCACAGCTGGATACCTTTCCGGGGGGCGGAGACACTCGAACCTCGGATAGTCCGGTCAAGATCGTGCGAGGGCGTGTGCCGGTACCCCATGGTTGGTTGGCACGTTGCGCAATATTTGCCCTTATCACCCCTTCCACCGACGTCCAATTACGAAATGATCGTCGTCTAGGGGGGAGGGCCGGTCAAGACAGGTAGCTGGATCAGAAAGGTCAAGAAGAGAGGACAGTGCCTGATACGGAAAGTTTCATTGGACGGCTTCATGTCGCCGGTGAGCTCACTAGCCAGAAATAATACGGCTTTACGTTATTCAGTTTGTAAATTAAGCAGCTGGACTATAAAAAGACTGAAAAAAACGTTATGTACTAACTGCGTGCATTAAGTTTTTAGGATCCGGCCCTATTTTTACTTTTTAAGGGTTTTTGGGTAGGCTAGCTGAAAAATCCGGGATTGCAAAAGGACCCAGGAATTTTTCGATTCTGCAAAGAATTCCGGCGTTTAAATACAAGCACAAAACGTGTGACGATACAACTCGTGTAACAGGGAGGGTAAACATTCCCAGGGCCACACCCCGTTATCACCACCCACCCTCACCCACCCTACTCTGACTAAAGAGGATCAGCAGCAGATCGCATTCCTCGGTGAGGAATAGTGTGGCCCAATGAAGCGGAGACGAGTTTCGACAGAATAGGCGTGGGATGTGCGATAGGCGTTGTCTAATCGTCGACCTGGCTCACTAGAGGCGGGAATAAACGCTTAGGACGTGAAATTCGGCGAAAAACAGAGTGAAAACGACGGATAGGCGCATTAATCAGTGGCGACCTTACAAAATAACGAGTTAGAAGCATTAATCGCAATTTTTATGGTCAGCGCGCCAGAAAAGCATGGATGAAATTAATGTCATCACCATGTAAGCTTAACTTTTTAAAATCAACCAGCGCTGACCCCCCGCTCCGCGGGGGTTCAGCGCTGGCCCTCCCGGGGGGAAAAGGGAAAAGGCGAAACGCTTAGAGCTCCGGTGAAAATTTTCAGCCCCCGACTACGGTAGCCAGGGGGATCGCTGCGGGATTGAAATCCCGGTCGGCGGTCGGCGGGCGTACGGACATTAGAAATTTATATATAGTAGATGACTGATTTACAGCACAACTTGGTGTTGTTGTTGAAGTTGTGTGGTGACTTCTCAAGATTTTGGGTCCGTTCCGCAAGACTTTTTGGAATATACGTGTTTCCCTTACTTTCCGAATTCCCATAAATTCCGCTTCCGCTTCGTTCTAAATCTCCATCTCGCCGTCATGAGCAGTAGAGGCGTGAGACCTCCTCAGACTCGGGCTCGGAAGCCTCGCGAAAACAAGCCTAACCCTGTGAAACTCCCAAGGTTAAGGAGAAAAAGGAATGCGTGGCGGGGTGATGATTCACTGAAGAAACTGCCGCGTAGGTCCTAGGAAGCACTAGTCAAAGCTTTGTTTACTTTTTCAAAAAGAGAAAGTTTTGGCTTTTCTTTCTGAAATTCACTTTTTGCAAGAAATGATTTGAATATGGGGGAACCGCCATTTTTAGAATCCACGCCTTTGATCTTAGTTTGGACTTTATTGACGCCCACCTCCAATAAACTTTTTTCTACGATTTTCGTATTTCAATATGCAAATAATTTTCGTGCATTGCGCCCCCGCAGTCGAAAAGCGGTTTTTAGATATTCAGAATTGATCAAAAAAAAGCCCGATTACCAGTCGTAATCGATTCTCCTATCACCAAATTGAACTCATGACCAGGTGACAAATCTTTTATAACCGGATATATATATTTTGCGGTACCTACCGCCAAAGAAGTCCTTTATGAAGTATCAGCTCGTATTTTACCTCCATGATTCAGCCAAAAAATTTGACGACGTATTATAAATTCCGTCACTAACTCCCTTTGGAATCAAGGCGACCTTCATACAATTTTGTCATTGCTCCCAAGGGTCCAAATTCTCCAATTAGCTCCATATTTTCATGGTTCGATTCCCCGGGCAGTCGGACGGCAAGCTCCTAGCAACGCGCCGAAATCTTACCCTCGCCGGAAGTTCCAAACGCCCCCACACGCCGTAAGGAGTTGTAACGCGGAGGCGTTGGCTTTTTGGCTTGACTGTGCTTCAAAAAATCTTCTCGGTAAATATTTTTCATCGTTACGCGGATTTTCTAGCGAAGATTTAGAATTCTAGAACCGTTCTATAGACTCCCGGGATCACAAAAAAAAATGCTTTATGGAATTTTCGATGTCAGAATTTTTTAAACCCGGAAAAATACGAGGCCTAGTGGGTTTTAGTGGATACCGTAAAATTTTTGTCTAGCTATCCTTTTAGTTTTCTACTACTACTTTTTAAAGTTTATGAACTTTCTTAAGGGACCGGGAAGCATAATTTTCTGAAAATTCCCGGAATTACCGCGTCGAGAAGCGATTTTGGACGCCGAAAAGGCTTGCCGCAGCTTTCAAATGTTCTTTTTTTCCGCTTTTGCCTTGCCCTCGCTCTAATGCTTCGTTGATCGCCCCGTTCTTTGCCCTCGAAATTCCCTGACCCCGAAAAATGTGATTTTTATTTTGCGTTCCTTTTTCTTTCCATTTCTTTCCTTTTTCCGGGGCGCCGCGAAAAACGGCGCGTGCTGAGCGCGGCGCGGACTGATGGCCTCGATACGGCTGGGGTCGTCGATCAATCTCTGATAACCACTTTTCAAGAGAGAGAGAAAGAGAGGGCGAGAGAGAGAGAGAGACGAAACAACGGTCGCTCATATTGAAAAGAGCACACAGCAATGAGATAGATAGATAGATGGAAATGGGCAAATCGGGGGCGCAAAGCTATGAAAAACTACACACACGCATACAGACAAACAGAGCCCCCACGCTCTCTCACAACCGGCAACTCGGTCAGTCGATTCGCTGGTGTTTATTGTCTATTTTTTGGAGTATTGATGATTTATGGAGGCTATAAAATGCCCAGGGCTACGGGGGCGGGGTTTTCGACTTCTACTGGTGCCACTGGCACCTGATTTTTCCTACCAACTTGTACGGAACCACTTATTATACCTATTTACCGAAATTGTAGCGCTTTTCAAACGTTTTAATAAGCCCGGTTCCACCTAGTTTGTGAATAATTCTGAATTTACTCTTTACATGATTATAATCGGTATTACTTCACATTACGTCGTGCCTATTTCTGGTTGACGCATCCCAACCTCTTGAGAAGTTGTAGCAGAGCACTTGCACTTTGTTTTACTTGACCAGAGTCATTAGAGCTAGTTTTCAGTGTCATAATCGCGCGCTAGGTGAACCGTAAGAATATTTTTTAATTGAATTTAAACTCTTAAAATCATTGCGATTACGCACATTTTCCCAGATTCGATGGGGTCGATCCTGCAGTTTTGGCAATTTTCCGGATTCGGAGCTAAATTCGTGGGAAAATGCGAAAATCCCGATCGCAAAATCCTGACAGCCTTAATAGCGACCGCCAAAATCCCGACAAACAAAATGCCGACAGGCTAAATCCCGCAAGCCAACATCTGCATGCCAAGTTGCTGCTTAAAAGGAAGGCATTCAAACTAGCGTCAGGAATATGTCGGTATTTCGGCTGTCGGGATCGGGAATGTAGATATTTTGGCTGAGGTGATTATAGCTGTCTATTTTTTTGACCTTTCGGGTTTTTGGCTGTCGGTCTTTTGGCTGGATCATGCTGATGCACCTTTTTCTAGTGACAAATTACTTGTTTGTTAGATACCTTAACCGTCTTGTCCTTATTTTCCGTGATATTACGTGACCACGGACCGTTCTTTGGTCCACCCGTTTAAAAAAACTTTCGCTGGCTCGGGGCCAGCAAAACTTTTTTGGTCAATCTTCCGCCCCCCCAAATCGTCACTTTACGACCCACCAGAGACATCGATTCATCCCGGGACGCGTTTAGGAAAACAGCGCACACTTCAAATACTATCCGGGGAACAAAAACAAGTTTTTGAAACTTTAAAAACTTTTTTTGCTCATTTTTATCCAAATGTTTACATCCTCTGCTGTTTGCTTCGAAATTCATAGTTCTGCTTAACTTCATTTCTTTAAAATTCAAATGTGTTTTTCGATTTTCCGTATTATGCCTACTTTTCAGAACCATGTCCAAGCCGATTCTCTACAGCTATTGGCGAAGCTCGTGCTCCTGGAGGGTCAGAATTGGTAAGCTGAGCTTGAGAATTGACCTTTGAAGCTAAATAAAACCTTCAATCTTTAAAGTGGGAGTCAAAGTTAAAGAAAAAAAGCTCAAAATTTCAGCCCTCAACTTAAAAAACATCGACTACGAGTACAAAACTGTCAATTTGCTGTCGAAAGAAGCTTTGGTAAATTAACGTTGTATTTTTTTAAGGAAGAGAACTTTAGGAAGACCCCGAGTTCGTGAAAGCCAACCCGGTGAAGAAAGTGCCCGCCTACATCGACCAGGGCCACGCCATCACCGAATCGCTCGCCATTATCGAGTACCTAGAGGTCAGCTAAATCGAAAAATTTGCGTTTTATATAGTATTTTGTAGCGTAGTTTTTGTAAAAAAAAGGAATGGGAAATTTCATACATTAAAAATTACGACTGTTTCATTGACTTTCCATACGCAAAAACGTGTAAAAAACTATATAAATGGTTCTGTATTTCCTTATCGGTCACGCCAAATAACTTTATTCCAAAAAATTCCAACTATTTTTAGGAGCGATACCCCGATCGTTTCCCCTTACTGCCGAAAGATCTGTTCCAGCGCGGTCAGGCTCGCGCGGTCGCGCTGCAAGTATGTATTTTGCGAATAACATAGATGATAACAAAATATACCCTCATCTAAATTCGAAAATAAGTTAATGTTAACGTCAATAACCCAAAAATCGAAGCTAAAATTCTGTTTAGATCGCCGCCGGCATCCAGCCAATCCAGAATATGCGCGTGCTCAAGTATCTGAACGCCGAGGAGGCGGGGAAGGGCGCAAAGGTAGGCCTAAATATGTACAGGTTTTCCAATTGATTTACTTGAAGATATAGTAATAAAATTTATGGAATACTATGAAATATATCTTGTAGTGGGCCAACTACTGGCTCGTCGACGGTCTCAGCGACCTGGAGCGGCTCCTTGAAAAATCGGCCGGAAAATTCGCCGTCGGTGACCAGCTCTCCATCGCCGATATCGGGATCCCAAGCATTTTGTACAATGCTCGAAGGTTGGTGGATATCACGTTTTTCCATAGCTATTTTTGGTGGAATTATACTATCGAATTTGAAGCGGCTATGCCTGGAACAAGCTCAGCTTTGGATAACGCAAACTTTTAGATTCTCCGTCGACACGACCCAGTTCCCGATTCTAACTCGTCTCGATAAAGCCCTCGGGCTGATTGACGCTTTCGCCGACGCCCATCCCGACAAGCAGCCAGACGCCAACCTCAACGCATAATCACCAAACCGTGCCTATCTGTCTATCTCCATTTCATTGCATTCCATTCGCCCATGACCCTGCTCATTCCGACTCGATGCATAAATTGTATTAGCTGAATAGCAATTCTTCAAATAAAAACTATCTAGAAATTTAAAAAATTAAAATTGGGGTTTTTCGCATTATTGGGGGGCGGGGCGGGGGCCGATTCTTTCCTATAAATCCAAAGATATGATTTGATAACAAGTATTTAGTATTTATGATACAATCCTGATTTAATAAAAAATTCCGATAACATTTTTCGACCGTAAAAACTCCCCAGAAAAGTTACACAAATGGCTAAACGTGAAAAATAAAGTGAAAATCGATACTTTTTGCATTTTTAAGCAGAAATTGGTAGTTTATAGGCTTAAGAGTAACAAAAAAACAACAGCACAGATATAGCTTCACGATTTATATTCTAACAATTGGATCCTGTGGATAAGATTCCCCCCCCTCCCCCCGATATCGCGAAAGCTCCAAAGAACCTCTATGATAGCATATCATCAACCAAGTGTAGTGCATTATTTGTAACGAACAGTTAAACCAAAATTTATTACCGCGAGAAAAAGGTGTGCAACATCAGATCAAAGGAGGCCGCCCCGGCGAGGGGGACAAGTGCGGGGGTCAGGGAGTAGGGCGCAAAAATAGATATTAACAAAAAACAACACGAATAATTTGGATGGATTAGTAGGGTACCCGAGAGGAAAAAGGTTAAAACTGCTATCACAACATCGTAATGGGGAAGGTGAAAAGAAAGACAAGTGTTTTTGGCATGGCACTATTTGGTGATGAACGTCATCTTGCCGCTCTCGATCAGCTTCCGGTGCAGCTCCGTCGGTTCGATGGCGTATTCGACGGCAATGTCCTCCAGTGCGGTGGTGCCGTTGAAGATGGAGAGAGCACTAGAAAAGGGGGTGTAAATTGAAAAGTTGCAGCTCTGGGCCTAATTTTGCAAATGTAGGAATTTATTAATGTCGGCATTTTTTGATTTCGCAATCAACTATAATAAAAAAGTTGTGGTGTCTGTCTGTCTGTCTGAAGCCGAATTCAACTCGAAGGGGAAAGGAGCTAGAGCTTAGGTCTCTTCGGATTCGGATAGAGCGTGGTCAGAAACCCCCAAACTGATAAAAAAATTATCAAAAAGTTTTTCAACTATAATAAAAAAGTTGTGGTGTCTGTCTGTCTGTCTGAAGCCGAATTCAACTCGAAGGGGAAAGGAGCTAGAGCTTAGGTCTCTTCGGATTCGGATAGAGCGTGGTCAGAAACCCCCAAACTGATAAAAAAATTATCAAAAAGTTTTTGTTTAAATTATTAAAATTAACTTTGAAAGTTTTTTCCTTAGTAAAAGGGGTGGGGGACGGAGGTTGGGGTGATTTTGGACATAGTGAGCCAGGTCACGCGCGTTTCGTGGATGAAAATTTTCACGGGGTATTTCATTTCTTTTTTTCTCTCATTCCATCCGGTCGGTCGTTATTTTTGTTTTTGAAGGGGATTCCGGCTAGGGGAGGTATCTGAAGCCATCAGGAAGGTATTTAGGTAGTTTTTGAAGGGGATTTCGCCCAGGGGAGGTAACTTAAACCATCAGGAAGGTTTTTAGGTAGTTTTTGAAGGGGATTTCGCCTAGGGAGGTATCTTAAATCATCAGGAAGGTATTTAGGTAGTTTTTGAAGGGGATTTCAGCCATGGGAGGTATCTGAAGCCATCGGGAAAGTATTTAGGTAGTTTTTGAACGGGATTTCGGCGATCGGGGGTATTGATGGAGGTGGGAAAGGATGTGGTGGAGTGGGACGTGCAGGGTAGCCCGAAGGCCAGATGGTTGCAGTCGCGAAGCGACTGTAACCATCTGGTTTCGTGATTACGAAATCTTGTTTTTTTCGACGCCGCAAAATGCCGACCAATGAAACTCCGAAGGATGGAAAACGACAATATTTTTTCAATATTCAAAAGCGACCATCCAACGTTTGTCTTGCTATTTTGCATTTTTTTGGCTTGGTAATGTAATGCAAACGTACGGAATATGCTTATATTCGGGCATGACAAGCGGGTAGATGGACAGCTTGCGCAGGAAGCCGCGCACCATCCCGAACTGGATGAAGCGCCGCACGTCGACCATCTTCGTCTTGGGCTCATTGACGATCACAAACTCGGAGAGGCGCTGACCGATCTGAAAAAAAACGTCATGGAAAATTGCTAAAACCACCACTTTTAAAATTCAAAAATTCAAAAAAGTTCCATTTTCAAAGTATTCTAAAAAAAGATCCCCTGTAAAGACGCACTTTTTGAAACGCTAATGGAGTTAAAAAAATTGGTTCTTTAGGATTTCCGGGGGAAAGTATTTCCGGGGAAACCAAATTTTTTCGGCCCAAGCCTAAATTTTTTTCTAAATAGCGCATGCGTTTCTAAATGGTTTTTAACTATTCCTAAGCATAAAAACTAACCACATTTTAATTAAAAAATTTAATTTTAGGTCGAAAAATCCTATAGAACCTTTAGGATTAGCGGGGGGGGAAAGACCCAAAATGACCAATTTTCGACTTTTTCAAACGTTTTTCTAACTTTTTTTGAAAGGTTTTTCTACTTTAAATATAGTTAAAATTTACTAAAAACAATGTGAAAACACTTTATATTTGATTACTAGGTCAACCGGGAAAACCAGGAAAAATTTGGTTTCCCCGGAAATACTTCCCCCGGAAATCCTAAAGAACCAAAAAATTACATACTTTTAGGTTCAAGTAAAGCCGGAACACATCATGGAAAGTCGGGCGCGCCAAAAGCTTCGGATGGCGCTTCCTCCTTCCCTTGACGCGACGGCGGACAAAGTCAGGGCACTCCTAAAAAGACATTTACATTTTGAAAGCCAAATTTCGAAACCTTGATGGCATCGGGGTCGTTGAAAAAGTTGTGCAGCTTCTCGGTGGCCACGTAGTTGTTCGAGTAGAGGAAGAATGGGACCAGGGCGACCGCCTCGTAGTAGCACAGGTTTCGAATGCACCTAAAAAAAACGGGGCGTTAAAGGGATGCAGACGGCATAATCAATCGGTTACGCGCTGGAAAGAAAATGTCTCTGCGCCTCTCCCCAGGGCGCGCTCTCTGCCCTGTTGGCTACTTGCCAATTTGTTGATGGGGGGGATCGACACATGCCGTCGGCAGCCCTTTAAAATAGAGTTAAAAAAATTGATACCTTATGACCAAATCGACGTCCAGCCCGGTCATTATGGAGATTTCCTTGACGCATCGAAGTCCATCGATTTTTGGGATGATCTAAAAAGACGTAGAAAAATATGAGACGATTATATCTTAAGAGTAATAAGACGATTATCAACTATAATAAAAAAGTAAAGACGTCTGTGTGTGTGTCTGAAGCCGAATTCAACTCGAAGGGGAAAGGAGCTAGAGCTTAACTCTCTTCGGATGCGGATAGAGCGTGGTCAGAAACCCCCAAACTGATAAAAAAATTATGAAAAAGTTTTTGTTTAAATTATTAAAATTAACTTTGAAAGTGGCGCCTTAATAAAACGAGTGGGGGCCCCTCTCCCGGCTGGCCACGCCCCCTTTCCCCGGCCCCTCTACACCAGGCCCTTGCCCGCGCCCAAATAGCTTTTTAAGTTACTTTAATACATTTTATACTTTTTAATTATGCTAATTTATTATTTAAATTATTTAAAGTATCTGAAGCCCCCAGGAAGGTATTTTGGTAGTTTTTTAAGGGGGTTTCGGCTGTGGGGGGTATCTGAAGCTCCCAGAAAGGTATTTTGGTATTTTTTAGGGGTTTCGGCTGTGGGGGGTATCTGAAGCTCCCAGAAAGGTATTTTGGTAGTTTTTTAAGGGGGTTTCGGCTGTGGGGGGTATCTGAAGCCCCCAGGAAGGCATCTAAGTAGTTTAGGTATGTAGTTACTTAGTTAAGTAGTTTATGGTAGTTAGTAGTTAGGTAGGTAGTGACGTTTTTGCCGGGGGTTGGCTAGAGAAGGTTCTGAAGGTGGGCGTGTGTATAGATTAAGGTAGAGGTATAATGTGGTGGTGTAGAACATGGAGGGTAGCCCGAAGGCCAGTCGATTACAGTCGCGAAGCGGCTGTAATCGGCTGGTATCTTAAGAGTCGTTTCCAAAAAAAAAAGGTCTAATCAGTTTTAAATATACCATTTGAGCAACAATGTCCATCCGAGTCTTGTTACGGCGCCAGCGCCACATTTCGAGCTGCGGGATTGGGACGGTGTGTGGATAGACCTAAAAAACAATCAACTATAATAATTTTCTTGACGCGTCCGTCCGTCCGTCTGTGTGAAGCCGAATTCAACTCGAAGGGGAGAGGAGCTAGAACTTAGCTCTCTTCGGATTCGGATAGAGCGCGGTCAGAAACCCCCAAACTGATAAAAAAATTATGAAAAACTTTTAGTTTAAATTATTAAAATTAACTTTGAAAGTTTTTTCCTTAGTAAAAGGGGTGGGGGACGGAGGTTGGGGTGATTTTGGACATAGTGAGCCAGGTCGCGCGCGTTTCGTCGATGAAAATTTTCACGAGGGAATTCATTTCTTTTTTTTCTCTCATTCCATCCGGTCGGTCGTTATTTTTGGTTTTTTAAGGGGATTTCGGCTAGGGGAGGTATCTGAAACCATCGGGAAGGTATTTAGGTAGTTTTTAAAGGGGATTTCAGCCATGGGGGGTATCTGAAGCCATCAGGAAGGTATTTAGGTAGTTTTTGAACGGGATTTCGGCTATCGGGGGTATTGATGGAGGTGGGAAAGGATGTGGTAGAGTGGGACATGTAGGGTAGCCCGAAGGCCAGATGGTTGCAGTCGCGAAGCGACTGTAACCATATGGTTATCATACAAAATTATAAAATTTTATTTATTGTTTCAGAACGCTTAGAATTTAATAAATACCTCTGGAGGTTCGTGGCCCATTTGGAGTGGCGATAGCTTGAGGTAGATGCAACAATGGTCGGTGACCTGGTAGCAGACGGCGCCTAAAACAATAAATCGTTAAAAACTATCAGATTTTTTAGATTACCAGTAGTGTTAAGCGAGATCAGCGTGTACTCGAAAAGCCGTTGCAACGCCTCGTCACTTTTGCGCCCCGACAGCCAGTGGCGTTCCTAAACACACATTTTAGCTACTGAAAATCCGGAACTTTTTCATTATCAGGGGAGATAAGCTAATTTTTGCTAAAAGTCAAAAGCGCTTAGTAAGGTTAAAACAACGCTTTTAGCCGCGTTTTTCGCAGATTTTAAAGATTTTCGATCAAAATATGTAGAAAAAGTAGGAAAATCCTTAAAATTTGAAATTTCGGTCCAATTTTTTTTTTGAAATTGAAAAAGCATGCAAAAGAACCGAAAATGCCTTACCTGCTCGAGTCCGACAATGTACTCCGTGAGCTTCTCGATCACCGGCTCGTACACAAAGTCATTCTCGGTGGCCTCGATCTCATGCGGGACGACGAAACAGATGCAGAAGCGGTACTTGCCACGCTTGTAGATCTCGATCGACTCCTTCGGCACCTCGCACTTGTTCCACGTGGCGATACGCAGGCCTGGAAGCGGAAAAGATACCTTTATTCGCTAATTAGTAAACCGCGAAAGCCTTAAAAAACCCCAAGCAATTCAAAAAATATAGAAAATAAAATTATAAAAAAAAAATTGTAATTTCATAAAAATAATTATTAACGGTTTGCTCACGGTTCTTAGGCCAGAAGATGTAGCGCAGGTTCTCTGAAGGCCCGGGATTAGAGATAAGCGGAATTTAGTACAAGTTCACCCCTTTGCCAAAATGCCACACTACCGGATTAGACATGTCAAACATAGGTAAAGCACAAAGGTAGCCATCGGCGGCTGGACATTAAAAATACCATATTTTGTCTTTGGTGGCGATGTAATTTTGTCCTCCTTTTCTAAAGTGGGAGACTTAGTCATTAGTGTCATTTTTGACATTACGCGATACATACTAAATCTTTTACAAGATGTCCCAAAAGCGTCCCATTTAGCGTACGGCAATTTCCGATTTTGATTTCGGTTTTCGGTGTTTAAAATTTTGATTTCAGAAATATCTCGACGAGTTGAGAAATTCTATCCCCCCAGATTTCGAAATTTCTAGCTTTTGCTAGATCTATCTACTATCCTTTGCGAAAAGAGTGATTTGCTAAATCTTGATGATTTTTGGCAGCCTCTAAAAGCTTTTTAGAAGCGATTTGAATATAGCTTCGATCGCTTTTAAATATATCAAATGCCGTTCTTTGGAAAGGTACCATTTACTTTCTAGGAAACTGCAGGAAGTTGAGCAAAATGAGCCGATTTCAAAAGCTAAGAGAACATATCTCCTCGCCTTGTCGAGAGCTTTCTTTCCACACCAAAACCATAAAAATTGCACGCTTTTCCGGAGCTTAGAGTTTTTCTGGGACATCCTGTTATCACAAAAAAAATACCGAATCGTTACTTACTCAGCGCAACCGGATATCCCATCACTTTGTATTTCCGGCCGTTGGCGTGGATGCCGACGCGGACCTGCCGATTCACCAGCTCGTCCTTCGGAATAAAGGCCGCCGAGTAGGAGCCGAAGCGCTGGGTAGGTAGGACGTCATCGAGTTTCTAAATGGCAAATATAGCTAAAGAAAATACCACTTACAAAATTCTCGTCTTCGCATTTCAGTTGAATCAACGTGCCGCGCGTCAGGTGAAACTCGCAGAAAAAGATGCACTAAAAACAGGATACTTACTTTCAAACGAAAGTTATTATACCTTAATCCGAGGCACGTCCTCGTAAATAAAATCCGCCGAGCTGAGCCATGCATTCGCCGAGGCTTCGATCACTAAAAAAAGTAATTTTCCACAAATAAAATGAAGAACGCACTTCTTTGAAGTGCTTGTGCCGACTTTGCCTCATGCTGGCCATCTCGCATAAGGCTAGGGATGCCACACTCCCGATGGCCGCCCCGATCATCACGGGCGTGGGGTAGCGCTGAAAGCAGAAGATTTGGAAACCGCATCCATTAAAGGGTAACAAGTGGATTTCCTATTAAAACATAGTAATATAGCTAATTTTGATACAATAAGACAAAAACTCACTTGATACCATACGTCCCAATCGAGCGGGATCAAAAATGCCCCGAACCAAGCGCCAAGCGCAGCGCCGTAGGCAATGTAGACGGCTCGCAGCTCTTTCTTTGTCGATGGACTGGAAATGACAGAACAATACATTAAAAATATATTTTTTCCCTGTATATAATAC